GGGGCGCAGAGAGGAAAGAGAAGGGTGGCTTTGCGAGGGCAGGGGAGGCGAGGGCTGTGTGAGTGCTTGTCAACGGTGTGAATTTACTTTTGAATTGAGTCAAACATGTGCGATGGGGAACAAACGGTTGCCAACAGTGCAGGTGGCGAGGTGAGGGAGCATGCGCCATGTGGAGGGGGGGAGAGAGACATATGAGGAATCCGTTGTCTCTCACTCACCTTCCCCTCTCCCTGCCCTATGTGCCCTGCATCTCACGCTAACACTGCTGGGTCCGCACCGCAATTCCTATTCTTGTTGTTCGTGCTGGACCTGTTGCTGCTGTGTGCGTCAGCAAAAGCGACAGAGGTGGTGATGCTTCAATGGGGCTCACCCTGGTGGTGGCAATGGCCGTGTTCATCTGCCTGTCTTACCATCCTCTCTCAGCCCTTCTGTTGCACTTCATCCTGGTAAGGCTAAAGTCCCATCACGTGCGTCTGACTGGCGGTTTTCCACGTACCTTGTTTCCGTGTAACATCTGTTCCCACTGCCGCAATTCTCCTCCCAATCATCTACATCCCTCTTCCTGCTTCTCTCACTTCCTGCACTTCAGGACGAGACACTGCAAGAATGAGCGTGCACCCACTGTCACCGTTCTATACCATGCCACATCTCGCTAGCATCCCTGTGCCTGAATCACATCCTCCACCTGTTAGCCAACTAGGCAACCAAGTCAACCAAAGTCCTGTATGTGTCTTGAAGCACACAACGAAGTCATACTCAGGCATGGTATATGTCTACAATCTGGTACTTCATTATATGAATTAGGGCGCGTTCGATATATTTCTTGTTAACTTCCGAAAGTTCGAACTCTTAGAAAGGCTCTACATGGTAGGATACAATTGAGAGATTTTTCGCCACGGTGCAAAGCGGTTTGAGTTTAAACTTAGACACATTTGTAAAAATCACACGCTCCCTTATGTTCTAGCGCTAACCGAGATGGTGACACCCTATTCACTCAAGTCACACTGCCCCCTTCACAGCTTTCCACCTTATAGTTGGCTTGAGCTAGAACATGTTCTAGACATTCTGGGATATGGATCTTACCCTTACAACCCCTGATGGTGAGCTCTGTGAGGTGCTTAAAGCCCGCCAAGTACTCTGGCAGAGACGTCATCTGCTCGCAGTAGATCAGCCGCAGCTTCCTGATGCGATGGAAACCGGCAAAGATCTCAGGCAGGCATGAGAAGCTTGACTCGTGAATCTCCAAGGTTCTCAGCTTGGGCGGGCAGGTAATTCTTCCAGTGCATTCCCTCCTGACTGCCACATTGGAGAGCCTTAGAAAGCGCAGAGAAGAGAAGGAAGAGAGGCATTCCAAGGTCCTGGAGGACGGAAGAAGCTGGTTGAGAATGAAGATTTCAAGCCTTGGCATTGGTGGGATCGGATATTTGCTGCTTGGGTAATCCACCTGCAGAAAAGTCAGGTTCGGGTGTGCAGTTAGCCGATTCTCGAAACCAAACTCGGCCCTCTGTAGCATGTGCCTCAGGTTCGGCAGAGCCCCAACTTGAGCGGTGGAGTTTATGGCTTGGAAGACCCTGAGGTTTGGGAAGAGGCAATCTGAGTCCGGGACTGGTGGGCAGCGGACGTTCACCAGCTTGAGCTGTGTGATTGTAGAGGAGGCCCAAGGGGAGAGGCTCTGCTCGTTATTAGAACGTCCGTATAGAGTCAGGGACTCCAGGGCAGGAGGGAGAAACACCCGAAGAGTCTGGGCTTGCCCGTGACCCTGCTCCTGCTGCTGCCGCTGCTGCTGCTGCCGCTGCTGCCGCCCTTGATGCTGCTGCCGTTCCCCAAACCCTCCCCTGTCTACCTCAGAAATGCACAGGTCTTTCAGGGATGTCAGATGCCACAGTCCCATCCCGGGCCTTGAGCTAAGGCTCGGAGCAGCCAGGGGCATGTGGAGCCGCGTCAGGCTCGGCAGGTGCCTAAGGGAAGGGGGAGGGGCCTTCCATTGGTCCGAGGTGAGAGTCAACGAAGTCAACTGCTTCAAGCCCGCGAATCGCGGCTCGTCCAAAATCCTACTCTCCTCCTCGTTGCCCGCGTTCGCCACAGCCCCAGCAGCAGCAGGAGCAGCAGCAGCGTCGTTAAAGCCCGTCGCTCGCCTCTCCTGCCCGCGCGCCGCTGCTCTGCTGCTGCACAGATCTGTCTCAAGTTCCTCCAGCCGCTCCAGCCCCCATATCGAGTCCGGAAGCAATCTGATGAATAAATAGTTGTGTTCTATATCGGGTACAAATGCCAAGATGCCATCGAAATTGCGCGATCCAATACGGAGGTTGAGAGTCAGCTTCCGAAGTGAATGTTCCAAGCCGGAAAACAGGTCCGGGGAGAGGCTTGGTGCCCGACCCTGCGGGTGGACCTCGGAGCTCGACCGAAGCTGGTCGTGGTAAGTTATGCGAAGCTCTTGTAACACGCGCATTCGCGAAAACGGGGCGGAGGTGGCGAAAAAGGACTCGTTCGCACATGTGACGTGAAGATGAAGTGAACGGAGGTAAGGGAACGTGGAAGCGAACGAGGCGGAGAGGGGACGATGAACAGGAAGGGAGAGATGGGATAGCCGCTGCTGCTGATGCTCCAAGCCCGGTAGCAATTCTGTGGATAGGGGCGACTCCGCCGCTCCTCTGGGCGCCGAGCCTCCCGAGCCTGTCGAACCTCCCGAGCCTGCTTCGTCTGCCGAGGCAGCGGCGGAAGCAATTGCGGTTACCAAATCAGGCAATGCGTTAGGCACGGCGAATCGAAGCATGTCCGTTTGCACGTGGAACGACCGGAGGTGCGGGCAGGAATCAAGAATATTGGCGATGCCTTCGTTAAGGACGGCGTTAAACGCGCTAATGTGGGATCGAAACCAGAAGTTCCGGGGAAATCGGATCTGGATCCGGCAAGAGCGGAGCGAGCGACACGTGGAGATTGCGGATAGCGCTTCGCGCAGACCATCGTCTTGGGACGAATCCTGTGGCCCAGAAACCTTTTTGACGAAGATTGGGATATTGACGGACGTCAGGTTCGGAAACCGTTTAATCCATGCGCCAATCCGCTTTCCGTCGGGAGAAACAATCGCGGAGTCGAGCTGTCGAAAGTTCTCCGACAGGATAAGATTCGATACTAGCGCCGGGGTGAACCAGGGGTTCTTGCTTATGAAGCGTACGTGCTGTGGCATGCACAGTGGCGGGTCGTCTAGAATCCATAGCTTCTCTATTCCCGGATGCCACCGTGAGACGAAGCTGCAGTTGCTGACGCCACGGAAACAAGGCTCCCAACGCGCGGTCCGCAAGTCGTAAACAACCGAGAAGTCGCGGGTTCGATTTTCGAAAACGTCGCGCCATTCCTTGCAAACGGTGCTGACTGCTTGGGCGTGTTCGGGTCTTTGCAGCCGTCGTAGAACATCCTCGAGAATGTCGGCTGAAAGTGTACCGGACTTCGCGGGTAAAATCGCTAACTGGGCACGACCGCAGCTGTTCCGACGGAATGAGTGCGGGGAGGCTGGGGAAAGGGGCCGTGGCAATTCCATTTTCAGTGAGTCTACATCAGGAAAATCCGCTGTTTTGCGCTCCTGCTGCCGCTGCTCCTGCTGATAATAATTAGAGTCTACTCTCTGGTTGGAAGCAGACGTCATTGCTCCAAACGGAAAATCTGAACGCTCGGAAGTCCGGTCACCCGGGGAACTCGTGCCGTATCTGTTTCTACATCTGTTGCTGCTACTACTGCTGCTGGGAAAGCACTCTGTTCGTCGGCGGTGCCCTCTGGCAGAACTCCAATCGTAGCCATTGCCTTTTTTGCAGGTTCCGCGTTTAGTAAGTAGTGAAGGGAGGAAACGAGGAAGGCAACAACACGAACTCGTTCCGCGACGCGTGTAACGGTTGAATGAGGCAACCGAAATGAGGTGAGGAATGAACTTTCTGCCTCGCTGGAATTACAGGCAGGTCGTTTTCGTGGGGAAGGAAAAGGACAAATTGGAGGGAAATGGAACCAATTTGGAGGAATGTGTTGTAAACTGACGGAATTTGTAAGTCATGCGGCTCGGCAAAATCGGGTTGCGTGTGGTCCACGTCCGGTTACAGAAGCGCGAAGGTCTTTCCGTTTCTTGCTTGGTCCAGCGGCGAGGACAGGTGAGCCCTTCACGGTCAACCCATCGAGGTTGAGGTTTTTTGCAACAGCGGCCCTGTTCGCCACGACCACGTGAACGCGAGGGGCGTGGGGTGGGTGAGGGATCTAGAAGGTGCAAACGAAGTTGCCAATTACGTACGGAGCCTCACACCTGGTTCGGGAAGGGGGCTAGGGGATGGAGCACCTCCCTCCCTCCTTCCTTCTAGGGCAAATTTCCCGTCCATCCCGTCGCACGAGGGAGAGGAGGGGATTCCTAGTTGGCAGGGCAGGAAACTGCCCTGCTCATTCGAGATCCCCCGCCCCAACCATATGTTGGGTGTTCGCCACGACACCGAGCCCACCGAGGTTCGGAGGGGATTGTCAGGCTCGACAAGATTTTGTCGGTCTGACCGCCTCCAAAACCCTGAATTCAGCCCTTTACGAAGGTGCAAGGGGGATTCCTGACCCTCCCCATCCCTTCGATGGCCCACAAAGGACGTGGCGAACAGGGCCAGTATCCTAGTCGAGGGTTTAGCTGCGCTTGGTAACAACACGATCAAACATTTTACTTACCTTAAAGCCCGTACCCAGAATGGCAGATTTTCAATAACACTGGTCGCTTAGCGCCCGAATCTTAGCGGCACTTCGGAGGCCTCCAAGGGCGTAGAAAGTTCTCTAGATCGATCGATCCTGTGATTATCTTGACCCATTCCCACAGCGACTCGACCCTTTTTTTCCATGATTCGATGCAACCCGAGGCGACTTCTCTGTGACGATGGACGAGCGCGCGCGCGATAGATGCGACGGCGATGTGACTCTCGATTCGACTGAGACTCAAAATCAAATCCGAACGAACTCCGTTATGACGATGGGCGATCACGCGCGGGATGCGTGCGACGGCGGAGGCGGGCGGGGAGTGGGCGCGGGACGGGCAGCGGGTAGAGGGCGGAGGGCGAGGGGGAGGGGGGGAGGGCGGAGCGCTGGGCGGCGTGGGGCGGAAAGAGAGATGGACGACGCGAGGTGAGCGCTGTGGGGAGCTACGGGGTGACGGCGGGATGGCGGGATGGCGGGATGGCGGGATGGGGGGATGGCGGGATGGGGGGATGGCGGGATGGGGGGATGGCGGGATGGGGGGATGGCGGGATGGGGGGGTGGCGGGATGGGGGGTTGGCGGGATGGCGGAATGGCGGGATGGCGGAATGGCGGGATGGCGGAATGGCGGGATGGCGGAATGGCGGGATGGCGGAATGGCGGGATGGCGGAATGGAAGCGTGGTTGGTGGTGGTGGTTTGGACGATCACGTGCCGTGGATGTTGGTCTGCCGTCTCGCCTTTTTTGCCCTTCCCCCTTTGTTCTCTGCGACCCTTGCGAAACCTGCGGCCTCTTCATTCCCTTCATAGGTCGTCACCCGCTACAAACGCCCAAAACTCTCCCCTCCACAAAACCCCACCGCATCCCGCCGCACCCTTCTCGTGCCCCTCTATTTCCCTCCACGTTCTCCCACTGTACCTCGCGACCCTCGTTCTTTTCGCTTCATTCTCCCGTTCGCTCCTTCGTCTCCCTCCTCCCCCGCCCCTTTCCCCTTGCTTCACATTCCTTCCCCATTCCCCACTCCTCCCTCGTGGCAGCGTGGCGGCGTGGGCGTGTGCGCGCCTGGGCGAGTCACGCTGGCAGTGCGTTGCGCGTTGCTGTGTTGGACCGCCGTCTCTTCACCTGCATGTTTCTCCCCCATTCCCCATTCCCCCCTCGTGGCAGCGTGGCGGCGTGGGCGTGTGCGCGGCTGGGCGAGCCCAAGAGGCGCTGATGAGGCGAGCCGTGCTGGCAGTGGCAGTGCGCTGCCTTCATCTGCATGTTTCCCCCCGTTCCCCCACCCTTTCCTTGTCTCAGCGTGGTGGCTTTTGAGTCGACTCAAAAGTCACCTCAGTGCGCTGCCTTCATCTGCATGTTTCCCCCCGTTCCCCCACCCTTTCCGTGTCTCAGCGTGGCGGCGTGGGCGTGTGCGCAGCTGGGCGAGCCGAAGAGGGGGCTGATGAGGCGAGCCGTGCATGCACTGGGAGGAGACGCCGTCAGGGGCATGGTGGCGGAGGTGAGGGCATAGGGTTGGGGAATAAGGGTGGGAAAGGGGGAAGGGAATTGGGCGAGCCCAAGAGGGGGTTGATGAGGCGAGCCGTGCACGCACTGGGGGGAGACGCGGTCAGAGGCATGGTGGGCGAGGTGAGGGGCATGGGGGGGAGGGTTGGGGCATGGGGGGGAGGTGAGGGGCATGTGGGGGAGGTGAGGGGCATGTGGGGGAGGTGAGGGGCATGTGGGGGAGGTGAGGGCATGTGGGGGAGGTGAGGGGCATGTGGGGGAGGTGAGGGGCATGTGGGGGAGGTGAGGGGCATGTGGGGGAGGTGAGGGGCATGTGGGGGAGGTGAGGGGCATGTGGGGGAGGTGAGGGCGTGAGGGTGAGAAATTGGGGTGGGGAATGGAAAGTAAGGAATGGAAGATGGGAATTGGGAATTGGCGGATGTGGCTAGGGTATAGGTTTGGGGATGGTGAGTGCGGAGTGTAGAGGAAAGGGCGAATCGTACAGTTGCAGGCAGTAGGATGGTGCTGTGAGGCAGTAGGAGGTCGGGATGCTCTGGGAGGTGCAGATTGGTGCAAGGGGGTTTTGGGGAGTGGGATAGGTGATATTGTGTGAAAGGAAGGGCAACTGGAAAAGGGTTTAACATAGGAGGGAGGGGGTTTGAGATATGAAGAATCGCGGATGGGTGAGAGGGATGAAAGTACGAGGGAGTGGTGAAAGGTGATGAGGGAGAAGGTTAAGGCCCAAGGAGATTTCCTCTCCCTTCCCTCCTTGTCTCTCATCCTTCACACATCTCCTTCTTCTCGCACCCTCTCTGCTCACTTATGTGTTTCTCCTGGTCCCATTCGTCCCGCCACTCCCCCTTCACCCACTTTCGCTCCCCTGCACACCATTGTTCGCCCAACCCACCCACCCACTCCCCTTGACACCCGCCCGGACGCGGTGCTTTTTTTTGTCAACTCGAAATTCACCCCCTTTCCCATTCCATCTCACCTCCACCGCCCCCCTCCCCCCTCCCTCCACCCCCCTCCCCCCTCCCCCCCCCCCCCCCCCCTCCCCGCGCCCCCCCCTCGGCAAGGTGGGCAGGATGCACCGCTGTGGCAGCCGGGTTACATGAAATGAGGATCGGTGCAGCTCTGTGGAGGGCAGCTCACGTGAGATGAGACTAGTATTGAAGGCCCCTTCCTCCCCTCATCTCCCCCCTCCCCCCCGCCCCACACCTCCGCTGTCCCCCCCTGTGCCAGGTGGACGCGGTGCAGCGCTGTGGAGGCCAGCTCACGAGAGACGAGACGAGTATTGAGGCCTTCCTTTTTTCCCCGCCTCCCCCCCCCCCCCCCCCCCGCCAGGTGAACGCGGTGCAGCGCTGTGGAGGCAGCTCACGTGAGACGAGTATTGCGGCCCCCCCTTTCCACCCCCCTCCTCCCCTTTCCTCCTCCCTCCTTTCCGTTCCTCCTCCTCAACCCCCTCCTCTTTTTTCCTCCTCACCCCCCTTCCTCCCCTCTCCTCCCATCCTAGGTGGACGCGGTGCAGCGGTGTGGAGGGCAGCTGACGGCGGACGGCAAGAGGCACCGCACTCCGGGAGGCGTGTTCTGGAACATTCTGAGGGCGCGAGTCAGCGCTGACGTGTACAGCGAGATCATGGCCGAGGAGAGAGAGTTGCAGGTATGACCGTCCATTGCTGCGTGTGACCATCCATTGCTGCGTGTGACCATCCATTGCTGCGTGTGACCATCCATTGCTGCGTGTGACCATCCATTGCTGCATGGGACCATCCATCCTCCTCAATGCTACAGCCCACATCCCCTCTCCCCTGCCTGTGGATGCTGCGCCATCCCCTGTGTCTACATGTGTGCAGAAGCGAAGAGAGCGAGGGCAGGCAAGCAAGAAGAGGAGGAGGCAGCACAAGGGAGGAGAGGCCGTTGGTGGGTCAGATTATGGAGGCACCGCTGCTTGTGGCGGTGGTGACAGGGAGGGCACGGAAGCCATGAGCCTCTCTCTTGACGGCTGCACTCGTGATGATGCGTGGCCACATGCTGCTGACGTTGCGGCTGCTGCTGCTGACGTGGCACAGGGTCCTGGAGCCAGGTGGCGAGTAAGCAGTGGCGTTTGTGTACAAGGGGATAGCAGACAGCGCTTGGAGCATGGTGTGACGGTGGGGGAAGGGGGCATGGCGGAAGGTAGGGGTGTAGAAGGTAGGGGCGTGAGAGAGCAAGTGCAGTGTGGTGAGGGGAGGGCTGCAGGCGTCGCGGGGGGGAGAGAAGAGGAGGGGGTAGAGAACGGGGGTAGAGGAAAGAGGGATGGGGGGGGACAAGGGGCCGGAGAAGAGGTTGTCATAGGCGTTGTGCAAGGAGGGGTGGAAGGAAAGGAGAGGATAAGAGAGCGGGCATGTGGCAGTGGGAAACAGGGGGGTGGGCTAGGAGAGGGGAGCAGCAGGGCGAGAGGCAGTGGGGGGGACGAGGGGTTAATGGAGGGGCTTTGGGAAGTGCATGAGAAGAAGAAAGTGCGTGTGAGTGTGGAGGAGAAGGGGGGGCGTGGGGGTGTGGGTGTGGGCGTGGATGTGGATGTAAATGTGGATGTGGAGCAGAAGGTGCGGCTGGATGTGGGAGGGGGGATGGCAGTGTGAGGCAGGTGCTGCATGCATGGCGGAGTGCCGTCATGGCTGGTAAGGGCAAGGGCGCTGGGGAGGGGTGGGAAGAGGGCGAGGAGGGCGAGTGGATAGCTGGCGAGTATGCCACTGCTAGCGTGGGCGTGCCTGATGGGGACGCTGGGCTGAAGGCAGGTGACGTGGCCAATGGTGTGGATGACGCGGCTGATGGTGTTGGTGACGTGGCTGATGGTGTGGCTGACGTGGCCAATGGTGTTGGTGACGTGGCTAATAATGAGGCCGGGATTCACGAGAGGGAAGGCGAGGAGGATCCAATGGAGGTGGATGGTGAGGGGGAGGAGGCGGGGTGTGTGGGTGTGCCTCCTTGTGTGGGGGAACAGTGTGAGATTGATCAGAGGAAAGAAGGGGTTGAGGCACATGCAGGTGTGAGCAGCAGTGTGGGCGGTGGCGCCTCAGGGCTTGCAGCTCTGTCAAGCATTGGCATGGAGAGTGGTGGCACATGTGAGGCGGCAACACTGCCAGGCATGCTCAAGGCACAGGGGGGAGAACATAGAGTGTCTGTGAAGCAGCGGCTGCGAGTGCCAGTCAAGTATGATGACGTGCCCGGCACAGTAGGGGAAGTGGTGGAAGGCTCTGCCATGTGATGTGAATAAGGATTGCCATATTGAAGGCTTTACTATTCCGAAAGATTTGTTTTCACTTTACTCTGGTGAATGAATGGGAAGCACAGAAACAACGCAAACAAACGTATCGTGACACCGGTTTGAAATAACCGCCCAACTCACAGTTTTGAGGACTGGTGCATCTTTCAAAATATTCGATTTTCCAGTACCCTTCAACTTGTTTCCACTTGTAAATGGTTGCTTGACTCCAAGGCTTCATATGGGAATGAGTAGTACATTGTGACACGTTTATTGCCCATTCATCCCTCAACTTGTGTTGTGACACAAGTGAGTCCCGGGCGGGACACCTCCAATCAAGCAGATTATTCACAAGACACACTCGCTCGCAGCAGTGGCCATGCCACGTGAGCGTTACATGTCTGCCACGTGAGCGTTACATGTCTGCCACGTGAGCGTTACATGTCTGCCACGTGAGCGTTACATGTCTGCCATGTGAGCGTTACATGTCTGCCACGTGAGCGTTACATGTCTGCCACGTGAGTGTTACATGTCTGCCACGTGAGTGTTACATGTCTGCAACGGACCACATGAAGGCCTCCTGCTCCCGCGCCTGCATCTCATTCTTCTGCTTGAACATCTCCCGCTCAAATCCTGCCAGTGCGCACACAAGGCGAGGGGGGTGGAAAGGTTAGACAAGGTCATTTTGTCAGCACTGACCAGAAAAACAGGAACTTCCACGTTAATGCAGATGAAAAAAAACAAGAAAACAGAAAGTTGGAAGACATGCAGAGCTGAACATTTCACACTCAAATGGACAGAATGGCACGAGTGGATAGGGAAACAAGAATATAAGATTGGCCGACTGGATTCCACAGTCAGCCATCTTGTCTCAGAACCCAAATATGAGACACCAGAGCACATTTCTGATATAGGAACAAAGCTCATGTGTAGTGGTCCTCATGCATTCAAAACCAGGACCATTCGAAAGTGATTGACATGATTGTTGACTCAGCCCATGATTTTGATGATTCATGCGGTCAACTCACCGTTGCTGCGGTCAACACCGTCCCAGTGGCGGCCAGGGCGGATGCCGTAGCGGTTGTGAGGGGCGGACACGCGGCGCTTGAGCCAGCTGTGGGGGGGGATGGCCTGTGGCACCGTGAAGCCAGAGGCCTGCATGGCTGGGTCGCGACTGAGATCCTCCAGAAGGGTATCTGCTGATATGTTGCTCTGTGTTGATGGCAGGGGAGGGGGAAATGGAAGGGACAAAGGGTAAGGGGATGGCCTGCGGCACCGTGAAGCCCAACGCCTGCATGGCAGGGTCGCGGCTGAGATCTTCTAGAAGTGCATCCGCTGATAGGTTGCTCTGTGTGTGTAAGCAGGTGCGGGGGGAGAGGGGGGAGAGAGGGGGCAGGATAAGTGCTAAGGAAATGGCTTGCGGCACCGTGAAGCCCGACGCCTGCATGGCTGGGTCGCGACTGAGATCCTCTAGAAGGGTATCTGCCGATATGTTGCTCTGCGTGTGTGCGAGTGTGGGGGCGGAGGAGGAAGAAGGGCAGGGTGGGTGTGGGGCGGGAGGGAGGAGTTGGGAAAGATATAAAGATAAATGGGATGGCCTGCGGCACCGTGAAGCCAGAGGCCTGCATGGCGGGGTCGCGGCTGAGGTCGTCCAACAGGGCGTCCGCTGATATGTTGCTCTGCGTGCGCATGCAAGATGCGGGGGCGGAGGAGAGTGGGGGGGTGGGGCAGGGGGGTCAGTTGGGGTGGAGTATAAGAACCAAGGGGATGGCCTGCGGCGCCGTGAAGCCTGAGGCCTGCGTGGCAGGGTCGTGGCTTAGGTCTTCTACTGAAAGAGCATCCGCTGATATGTTTCTCTGCGTGTGTTTGCAGGATAGGAGGGGATGGGAAGGGGGGAGAATCAGGTTTTAAGGGATGGATGTTGCTCTGTGTGGATAGGAGGGGATGGGTGGTTGGAGGGAACAAAGTGTAAGGAGACTGCCCGTGGCATTATGCAAGGGGTAAGGGGTTGGCCTGCGGTCAGATGCACCTGCCTTAGCTCTCCAGCCCACCTCACCTTGACGTGTTGCGGCACAGGGTCGCCAAAGTGACCTTTGAGTCGACTCAGAACACCCCTCACCTCACCCCACCCCACTCCACTTCATCACCCCACCGCACCTCATGGCGCCATGACAGCTCAACCCATGACGCCATGCATGAGAGCTCACCTTGACAAGATGCGCCATGGGGTCGCCAAAGCGCACGGCGTTCCTGCAGTGCAGGGAGTGCCCCTCCACCTCATCACACCCACCCCACTGCACCACACCGTACCTCATCTCACCCACCCCAGTGCACCCCACCGCGCTTCACCTAACCCCAGCTCACCTTAACGAGATGCGCCATGGGGTCGCCAAAGCGCACGGCATTCTTGAGCATGCGATCACGCTCCTCGTCGTTCCTGCAGGGGGCCACGGGGGCACGAGGACAAGTGGACACGAGGACAAGGTGACACAGGGAACATGGAGTGGCAGGGTGGGAGGAAAGAGGGGATTAAGATAAGATACGTGAAGCCCTTGGCGATGGCCTCGGGGATGACCTCCAGTAAAAAGTGCCTGATTTGCCACACATTCGCTTTAACACGCAGCCAGATTGCAACGGACCGGAAGGAGAGCAGAGAGAGGAGCACCGAGGAGCAGGGAAGAGCAGGAAGGAGGACAAACCAGAAAGGAAGGAGGTTTTTTTTGCAGGGGAAACGCAATGCACGAGTTTGTGGGGATCAAAGACTGGTAATTCAACTGGTAATGCTTGCAAGAGGGTATGAAGAGTCTAGAGAGTGTGTCAATGTGGTGACAAATACTCACCCATGGGCAACGGATGGCCGTGCGGCCAGAGCATCCATGTGAGCCTGCCAGCTGCCTCTCCTATCCAATCAGCTCACTAATGAGCACAATAATGAGTGTGGCGTGTGGCGTGTACACTAAAACGAGGATACAGTGTACTTACTCATAGGCAGCAAACGGGCGAGCAGCGAAGGCATCCAGGTCAGCCTGCTGCCTCTCCTGTCTTACCAACACACTAGCGAGCAGAACACAATACCCAGTACACAGTGTACTCACTCGTAGGCGGCAAAAGGGCGAGCAGCAACGGCATCCAGGTCAGCCTGCTGCCTCTCCTGTCTTACCAACACACTAGCGAGCAGAACACAATACCCAGTACACAGTGTACTCACTCGTAGGCGGCAAAAGGGCGAGCAGCAACGGCATCCAGGTCAGCCTGCTGCCTCTCCGCCTGCCTCTTCTGCACCAAACCCTTGCCCCACTCGGGTGGTGGCAGCACCTGCAAGGGAAGCACGGAGATTGGGAGAGCACAATGCACACACAAACACACAATAGCACATAAGATGAGCATGATACAGAGGGCTGTGTACTGCCTGCATGCTGCCTCTCCGCCTGCCTCTTCTGCACCAGCCCCTTGCCCCACTCGGGCGGGGGCAGCGCCTGCAAGCGTAGCACATGAAAGAGGATGATATGAGCATGATACAGAGGGTTTTGTGACGATAATGTGTCCTCCCCCCCTCCCCCCCTCCCCCCCCCTCCTTCCCAGTTCATTCCTTCCTCCCGCCCGCTCATTTATCTCTGCTCCAGCCCCCCCTCCCCCACCCCCTCCCCCCAACCCCTCCCCCCTCCCGTTTGACTCACGCGGCTCTTCTTGGCCTTCTCCTCCGCCATGATGGCCTCCAGATTGCTCAATCGCTTGCCTGCCACGCCACACACCCGGTCATGCACGCAGAAAAGCATATGCACATGTGCAGAGACGCATGCGTATACTCACATCAGCAGATCGGTCAAACAGCCCAACAGCCCAACCGCAGCACACCCACACCAGATGCATGCTCCCACACACGCAAGCACACACATCAGAAAGGCAAGTAAGGCACATGAATTGCCTGAGGAGCGCGCAACCGAAACATTATGGAAAGTAGAATTTGGAACGTCATAAGGATTAAGGGAGTACTGGAGAACGTTATTCCCCCCCACTAGCCCCTGTGTCACAAACACGTACACAGCCTCTTGTCCCTCCCATTTGCTCTGCCCCACACCCGCTTTCTTCCGCCCACCTCATTTGCTTCCCTGGCAGCTCTTCCCTAACCCCACCCGCATCTCATGTCACGGCGCACTCTCGGCGCCCGCACTGCCTCCAATACTCACACACACTAACACTATTCTTCTCTCCCCCTCCCCACCCCCCCCATACTCACCCCTTCGCCCTCGCAACACCCCTCCCCAGGCCACCTGCCCCTCCCCAGGCCACCTGCCCCTCCCCAGGCCACCTGCCCCTTCCCAGGCCACCTGCTTTGTTGCGGTACACTGTCTCCGCTCCCATTGTATTCACTACTTACAAACACACTCGGTTCTTCCTTTTCCCCCGCACCTGCTTTGTCGGAATACATCCATAATCCCCACACCCCCTTCCCAAACTCCCCCATACCCATCCTCTTTCCCCGCCCACCTGCCTCCCACATGCACCTGCTTTGTCGCGGTAGACTGTCTGTGCCCCCCGGCCACTGACGGACGGATCCAGCTGGGCGAACCTTCCCCACCCACCCTTCCCACCCTACCTTGAGTTCTTCTGAACATGCAAGCTTTTCCCCCACGTGCACCCTCCCCCTTACCTCCCGAACACACTTGCCCTCTCCCCCAACCTCCCCCCCCACACGCACCTGCTTTGTCGATGTAAACTGTCTGCGCCCCTCTGTGTTTTGAGTCGACTCAAAACACATCCCCACCCCACGGTCCCACCCAGCCTGCTCATCCAACCACCTGCTTTGTCGCAGTACACAGTCTGTGCCCCCGGCCACTGACGGACGGATCCAGCTGGGCGAACCTGCCCCCTCCCTGCCGACCCTTTCTAAACATACACGCTTCTTCCTCTCACCCGCTGCCCCGTCCCCTCCCTCCAAACACACTTCCCTTCCCCTCCCCACTTTCCTCTCCCACCTGCTTTGTCGCGGTACACTGTCTGCGGCCCGCGGACTCAACACACACTCCCACCCACCCTACCCCCTCCTCCCCCCCTTCCCCTCCCCCGCCCACCTGCCCCACTTGCCCTCCCCCCCACCTGCTTTGTCGCGGTACACTGTCTGTGCCCCCCGACCACTGACGGACGGATCCAGCTGGGCGAACCTGTGGGGGGGTTCAGGGAAAAGAAAGAGGCACACAGGCAGAAAGGCGGAAAGGCAGGGAGACAGAGAGGCAGAGAGACTGAAAGGCAGAAAGGCAGAAAGGTTGAGAGGGCGAGGGGAGGAGAGGGGAGGAGAGGGGAGGAGCACAATCAGGTGATGCTCACATGATGCTTCTCCCCGCACGCCTCATATGCAACTGTCACGCAAGCGCCTCTTGAGCCAGACCTTTCCCTCATGTCCTGCGGCCTGCCTCACCTGCAGCAAGTCGCATAGGGAACTTTCCCACAGTCACCCTACGCATCTACCTCTCATTTATTCTCTCCTACCCTCTCCTGCCCTCACCTGCCCTCACCTGCCCTCTCCTGCCCTCTCCTGCCCTCTCCTTCCCTCACCTTCCCTCCCCTCCCCTCATCTGCCCTTCCGTCCGCTGCCCTCCCCTTCCCTCTTCCCCCCCTCCTCCCCACCTAAGTCTCACCTCGCCTCGTCCTTTAGTCGTTTCTCCTCAGCCTCGACCATAACCTCCCTGCCGCTCCTCAGCCCTGCAAGGTACACGCATTCCCTACCTCCTTCACCCCCCAATCCCTTTCCCCTCCCCCTTACCCAGGTCTCACCTGGCCTCGTCCTTGGCTCTCTTCTCTTCTGCCCCCGCCATCACCTCCCTGCCACTCCTCAACACTGCAAAGTCTCCTCCCTACACCCTTCCTTCATCAACCCCCATGTATTCCTCTCACCGCGCCTCTCTCATCACTTCCCTGCCGCTTCTCAACCCCCCCAACAGGACCTAACTTACTCCCAAACCCCCCTCTCCTCCCCCCCACCAAAGTCTCACCTCGCCTCGTCCTTGGCTCTCTTCTCCTCAGCCTCCGCCATCACCTCCCTGTGGCTTTTCAGCCCTGCCAAAAATACCTATCCTTCCTCCAATCAATCCCCTCAACTAACCCCCCAAGCCCCTTATCTCCCTCCCCCTCACCTGGCCTCGTCCTTCGCCCTCTTCTCTTCAGCCTCAGCCATCACCTCTTTGCCGCTCCTCAGCCCTGCCAGGCTGCCATCTGTCATGCGCTCCGCCTTCCCCCCTCCCCCCTTCCACATGCTCCCCCCACCCTGCCCTGCCGCCCCTGCCTGTTTCCCCGATCCCCGTCGTGGCGGGGACAGGTCCGGCGAGTCCTGACTGGCTCGGCGACGAGGCGGGGACAGGTCCGGAGAGTCTCGTCTGGTTCGGCGACGAGACGGGGACAGGTCCGGCGAGTCCTGTCTGGTTTGGCGGCGGGGTGGGGAGAGGTCCGGGGACGAGTCCTTTCTGTTCTTGCGAGGAGGAGACAGGTTTGGTGAATCGTTTCTGGTTCGGCGCGGGGGAGACAGGTCCGGTGAGCCCTTTCTGCCCCTTCGAGGAGGCGACAGGTCCGCCGAACCGCCCCTGGCTCGGCGCGGAGGAGACAGGTCCGGCGAGTCGTGCCTGGCTCGGCGAGGGGGGGAAAGATCAGGAGATTGGGCCTTTCTCTTCAGAGGGGGAGACAGGTCCGGTGTGCCCCTTGTGCCCTTTCGATGGGGAGACAGGTCCGGTGTGCCCCTTGTGCCCTTTCGATGGGGAGACAGGTCGGGCGAACCCCCTCTCCTCCCTTCACCACCACCTCTTCCCACCCTCCCCCTATCCCCTTCCTTGCCCCACCTTTCCTCTCTTTCCTCGATCTCCTCTCTCCCCCCTTCCCCGTCTCTCCTAGCGTCCCCTTCATCCCCGTCGGGGCTGTCATGCCGAAACCTCCTGCCTCGGCGCGGGGGAGACAGGTCCGGAGAGTCTTCTCTGGTTCGGCGACGGGGAGGCGACAGGTCCGGGGAGTCGTGTCTGGTCCGGCGAGGGGGAGAAAGGTCCGGGCTGTCATGTCTTCCCCTCCTGCCCCCCTCAACCGTCCCCCCAATACCCCCTGCCTCTCCATGCTCATCTCCTCTCCCCGCTCCCCCTCCCCGTGCCTGTGTCCGATCCACAGTAACCCATCCGCTCCCATCCTCCCGAACCTCCAGTTCTCGCTTCCGAGCCTCCTCCAGGCGCCGCTGTCGCCGAACCTCCACGTCCTCCTCCACCTGGGGAGCATCGGCTACTGGCTGCACGCAGGTTCGGAAGGACAGGTTCGGAGGATGGGTTTGGTGGTGCAGGTTATAATAGGGCTCGTAGGACAGGCTCGGAAGAGAACGTTTGAAAAGAGTAAGCTTGTTAAAAACGAACAGAGCTGATACCAACATAGCTCCATCGAGATCCTTTAGGCCCACAGTACTGCTGCTGGCGGAAAGAACATCTCTTGCATAATAGGTCGAGTGGCGATCTCTGATTGTTGCTGTCTCGATCCAACAGCACACTAACCTCATCTTCTTCCTCATCGACCTCTTCGCCAATTGGCTTCTGCCACGTGGCGTCATTGTCCACCAGCACGAGCCCTCCCGCGCTCTTCGCGGGCGCGGCGCCCTTCTTTTTCCTTTTCTTCTTCTTCTTCTCCTCGCCTCCCGCTGGCCCATCCGACGTGTACCGCTTTAAGTACTCCGCTAACGACGACATCGATATCCGTATTAAGAAGATCGCGTGCACTTATATATTTGTGAGACTGGTCCCGCGAAGAACGGGAGGAAGAGAGCAAGTAACGGATGAGGCTGAAGAACGGATGAAGTGCAGAAGAAACGTGCTTGGGAAGGCGAAACCAGCCTTTACGGATCTAACTTGCGTCCCTGATAAGGGGGAAGAGAGCAAGATACGGATGAGGCTGAAGAACGGATGAAGCGGATTGGGTTTTTGTGTCGAACCCAATCCGCTTGAAACTCCTTGAGGAGACGCGACACGGTTACCCTTGTTGCGAAATCCGAGGCCAAACAAAATGTCTATTCGAAATTTTCGCAGCGCATCGTAGACCAACGAAAGTTGAGGCTAGGTCCCCAAGCGAAGCTTGCCTCAGGAGCACAACCGTTGTCGCGATTTTGGTTACGCAAAACCAAATTTCGCGACCTCCCAAAAGAAAATTCCTGTCCAGAATAAAAGTCGCAACCCTAATTTCAACAATCAAGCAACAGGCCGAGCGCGATTCACGCAGGGAACAGAAAACGGACTTTTAGGATATACTAGACGCGCTGCCTCCACCACTTTGTTAGTGGCATTTAGTTTTCGTTAAGTAGTGAAACATTTTCTCAGGCGAAGGAGCTACCAGACGGTAGGCGCCATGGCGGAGGAAGTTATTCTTACAGCGAACGACCTTATCACGGGGCCGCTATCGCCTGTGATTCCGCGAGACCTCGCGCCGCGAGTGTTGGAGGGCGTCGAGACGTGCAGCGACCGATTAAGAGCTCTTTTTGAATGTGAGCCGCTGGATTATCCCCATGGTAGAGAGGTTAGGTGAGATTCGCCCTTTATTCGTTGGCCACTCCGCATTCTTCTTTCCCAGGGCAGTTGAGCGCACTTCCCCCCACCTCCGCCGTCAAACATCCCGCACTCCTTCCCAATTTCACTTCCCGCTTCCCTACCACCTGCCTCATTTCCTTCTCCTCTCTCCCGCTCACTCAATCCGCGCCAATGCCTTCTCCTCTCTCCCACATTTTCTCTCTCCCCCCATGTCCCCGAGCGCGTCCGGCAGGCTTGCATGCGAACGAAGTGGAGCCGTTCTGCCAGGATGCCATCATCACGGCGCACAGGGTAGGTGAGGCGGTGGTGAGGCGTACAGTGCGGTGCAGATGGGCACAGTGCGGTGGAGAGGTATGGGTGAGAGAAAGAGGTGGAAGGTGGCGCCGTTCTTCCAGGATTCCATCATCACGCTGCGACGCTGCACGGCACACAGGGTGGGTGGGGCGGTGCAGAGGCGCACAGTGCGGTGAAGAGGTGCACAGTGCGGTGAAGAGGTGCACAGTGCGGTGAAGATCTGCACAGTGCTTTGAGGGTTTGCACAGTGCGGTGGAGAAGTATGGGTGAGAGGAGAGAGGGAGGCAGCCAATGCCTCCAGGTACTTCCGCTTGTGCACCCGCATGCACCGCTTCTCCACATCACGCTCGATGTGAAGCCCGAGGTAAAAGTTCACGCCCACAAAGGACTTGCATTTGAACTTGTCTTGCAGCTTCAGCATCACCTCCTTCACAAGGTTAGAGGAGGGTGAGAATTTCAAGATGTCGTCCACGTACACCACCATGAAGCTCCTCTGCTCCCCCTCGCCAAGCATGAACAAGGAGTGATCGGCCGTTGAGGGAGTGAAGCCGATCTCCTCCAACACTTTCTGCTAGGATGCCATCATCACACTGCGGCGATGCACCGCACATAGGGTGGGTGGGGTGGTGCAGAGGCGCACAGTGCGGCGAAGAGGTGCACAGTGCGGTGAAGAGGTGCATGGCACGGTGAAGGGGTATGGTGAGAGGAAGAGAGGGAAGTGGAACCGTTCTGCCAGAATGCCATCATCACTCTGCGACAATGCACACGACGCACAGTGCGGTTGAGAGATGCACAGTGCGGTTCGACGCTGCACTGCACAGCACACCAGATAGGTGCAGAGGTGCGCAGGGTAGGTGCAGAGGTGCGCACGGTAGGTGCAGAGGTGCGCAGGGTAGGTGAAGAGGTGCGCAGCATGCACGCCTGTCAGTGCATGCACTTCGACTGCTAGTGCACCATTCCACCCTTTCCTATTACTCTCCCTACTCTCCTCTGCCCCCGTCTCCCCTCCTCCCTCTTGCAGAGGTCTGCGATCTCGTGTGCTGCAGGCAGAGGAGGCGTTTATGAAGCAATTCGTAGTTCAGGCGCTTCCCAGCATGCTTTTGAGGCGCCTCAAAAGCAGTTCAGGCGCTTCCCAGCATGCTTTTGAGGCGCCTCAAAAGCAGTTCAGGCGCTTCCCAGCATGCTTTTGAGGCGCCTTAAAAGTAGTTCAGGCGCTTCCCAGCATGCTTTTGAGGCGCCTCAAAAGTAGTTCAGGCGCTTCCCAGCATGCTTTTGAGGCGCCTCAAAAGTAATTCAGGCGCTTCCCAGCATGCTTTTGAGGCGCCTCAAAAGTAGTTCAGGCGCTCCCCAGCCTGGTGTCGCTGCACCCTCCCCTGTACTCGTACTCTTGTGCAGGATGAGGTGCTGCGAGCGCGTGTGATGCAGGCAGAGGGGGAGGCAGCGGCCTGTCGGTCAGCAGAGGGTAACCAGGAGCGAGTGGAGGCGATGAAAGGGCAGGCGGAGCAACTGGAGAGGTAGGGAGGGCGGGAGGTGATGTGTGCGAGTCAGACAAAAGGGACTGTTGCGTCGAGTCAAGAGTCAGCTGGAGAGGTAGGAAGGGAGTGTGGTGCTGTGTGTGGGAGAGAAAGAAAGGATATAGGAGAAAATTGGGCGGAGGGAGGAAGGAGGAGGGAGTAGTGGGAAGAAGGGGGAAAGCGGGACGAGACGAGACGAGTTGAAGGAGCGTAATGTGATTTAGTTTTATAACCTTAATGACACACGGGCTGCAATGCTCCCCACGTCTTTTTCCCCCCTTCCCCCCCCCATCCTCTCCCTTCCCTTCTTTTTCTCCACTTTCTTCCCTCTTCCTCCCCTCTCTCCCCCTTTTTGGTCTCCTTTTCTTCCCCTTTTCTTCCCCGTTCTCCCCTCTTCCTCCCCCATTCTCCCCTTTTTCTCCCCTCCAGTGACACGCCCAGCCCTGAGGGCGTCCAGTACAATGGAGTCTGCACGTGATAAAGTGTATCGGCCCCCCACACCCAGTCACATGCTTAATCCACACGCACGCACACACCTCCTGCATCCCCCACTTGCTACACGTGCAGGCGCCTCATCCTGGCCACTGCCACAGCCTGTCCCAAGGGCTTTCAGGCGCGCTGGAGGCTGCAAGTCATCAAGTGCTTCTTTTACTCTCACCATGTAATTCCCACCCGTATCCCCGTGATACCCAATCCACACTCACCTCGCCCACGGCGCACGTACAGGCGCCTCATCCTGGCCAGTGCCACACCCGGCCCTGAGGGCTTCCAGACGCGCTGGAGGCTGCATGGCGAGCTACAGGACACCAGGTGCGCCTCTGCCCCTGCCTCCCTCACGCCCTCCCTCACGCCCCCCTCACGCCCTCCCTCACGCCCTCCCTCCCTCCCTCCCTCGCTCCCTCCCTCGCTCCCTCCCTCCCTCCCTCCCTCCCTCCCTCCCTCCCTCCCTCCCTCCCTCCCTCCCTCCCTCCCTCCCTCCTCGCTCCCTCCCTCCCTCCCTCCCTCCCTCCCTTCCCTCCCTCCCTCCCTCCCTCCCTCCCTCCCTCCCTCCCTCCCTCCCTCCCTCCCTCCCTCCCTCCCTCCCTCCCTCCCTCCCTCCCTCCCTCCCTCCCTCCCTCGCTCGCTCCCTCCCTCCCTCCCTCCCTCCCTCCCTCCCTCCCTCCCTCCCTCCCTCCCTCCCTCCCTCCCTCCCTCCCTCCCTCCCTCCCTCCCTCCCTTCCCTCCCTCCCTCTCTACGCTGCCCACAGCTGCTGTCTGGTTATCACTGCCCACCCATTCTGCCATCGTTCCATATAATCTCTTCTCACCACTATGATCCCTTTACCATCATCCCTCCACCATCATCCCTTCCCCATCATCCCTTCCCCATCATCCCTTCCCCATCATCCCTTCCCCATCATCCCTCCACCATCATCACCATCATCACCATCATCACCATCATCACCATCATCACCATCATCACCATCATCACCATCATCACCATCATCACCATCATCACCATCATCACCATCATCACCATCATCACCATCATCACCATCATCACCATCATCACCATCATCACCATCATCACCATCATCACCATCATCACCATCATCACCATCATCACCATCATCACCATCATCACCATCATCACCATCATCACCATCATCACCATCATCACCATCATCACCATCATCACCATCATCACCATCATCACCATCATCACCATCATCACCATCATCACCATCATCACCATCATCACCATCATCACCATCATCACCATCATCACCATCATCACCATCATCACCATCATCACCATCATGGCCATCATGACCATCATCGCCATCATCACCATCATCACCATCATCACCATCATCACCATCATCACCATCATCACCATCATCACCATCATCACCATCATCACCATCATCACCATCATCACCATCATCACCATCATCACCATCATCACCATCATCACCATCATCACCATCATCACCATCATCACCATCATCACCATCATCACCATCATCACCATCATCACCATCATCACCATCATCACCATCATCACCATCATCACCATCATCACCATCATCACCATCATCACCATCATAGCCATCATCACCATCATCGCCATCATCACCATCATCGCCATCATCGCCATCATCACCATCATCGCCATCATCGCCATCATCACCATCATCGCCATCATCGCCATCATCACCATCATCGCCATCATCGCCATCATCCGCATCGCACAGGGCAAGGATGCAGGTGCTTGAAGCCAAGATGCACGAGCAGGCGTCAAGAGAGAAAGAAAGGGTCAGCAAGCCATGGTGGCGAATCATTTAGCTGATGAGAAAGAAAGGTTTCAACCACGTTGTTACACTTACTATATACCTATGTTGGAATATACGCTCAGACACTAAAGCGTCTAGCGTTTACACGCTTGCGTTTATACTCAAAACGCTATACGCCTACTCATACGCTATACGCAGTCAGAATTTTTTTTGGGCTGCCCGAGGAAAAAAAATTGTCCATACGAAAAGATGCGGAATCTCCTGGTGAGCATTTCGCCGAAGTCGCGATGCATTTCGGTGGTCTAGGGAAGCGGGAATCTGCCTTCAAAGTTATCAGTCACTTCTGGCAGATCTACAATTCCAATTAGCACCGCATTGAAACCCTTCCCATCTACGAACTCCAACCTGTCAATTGTCCTCCCAACAAACCCCACTCACGCTACCTACCAGCCAGCACAACTTCACTCGTCATTTCTAGGTTTCTTTCCTGCTTCCAACAGAGGTCATTCTTCCTACTCCTAGCGAAGATGTTTACTACACATCCCACCCCAATCGCCGTTCAGATTTAGGAAAATGCTGCGAAAATCTTAGTTAGAATAGGGAATACCTTCCCGATGTTGAGCACGACGGTTTTTTCACCCTGCCCGGGAAAAAATTTCCCCTGCCCGAAAAAGCGTATGTCCAAACTGACCGCTGAGCGTATAGCGTATACACGATAGCGTATATACGATACGCGTATATACACTAAACGCGTATATTCCATCATAGCTATATACATGCCCGCCGGGGCCCCGTGCTGCATCGGGGGTGCGACGACAACAAGGCAATGAAATACGGTAGTAGTCTCCGCGGCAAAGTTCAACATCATGAATGTTTTGTCCACCGTGACGCTCGCAGAGGCTACGCACCAGCTAGATTGCGCGAGACTCACTTGGGCCTCAGCTGCGACGGTGAAGAGACTCACTTCCCCACGTCGCCCTCACTTCCCCACGTTGCCCTCACTTCCCCACGTCGCCCTCACTTCCCCTTGTCGCCCTCACTTCCCCACGTCGCCCTCACTTCCCCTTGTCGCCCACACTTCCCCTTATTGGCCTAGCTTCCCCGCGTCGCCCTCGCTTCTCCCCATCGCTCTCACTTCCCCCCCGTCGCTCTCAGTTCCCCCATTCACCTGCAGTTCCCCCATCGCCCGTAGTTCCCTCCCTGCCTCCCTTCCCTCATCTCTCCCCGCGTACCTCCCCCTTTGCAACCAGCCTCTCTCCTTCCTTCTCCCCCAGCCTCTCTCCTTCCTTCTCCCCCAGCCTCTCTCCTTCCTTCTCCCCCAGCCTCTCTCCTTCCTTCTCCCTCAGCCTCTCTCCTTCCTTCTCCCCCAGCCTCTCTCCTTCCTTCTCCCCCAGCCTCTCTCCTTCCTTCTCCCCCAGCCTCTCTCCTTCCTTCTCCCCCAGCCTCTCTCCTTCCTTCTCCCCCAGCCTCTCTCCTTCCTTCTCCCCCAGCCTATCTCTCATTCTGCCCATGAACGCACACTTCCCTTTCCACCTTCCTCCTTCCCCGCCCATCTCCCCACGAATACCACCAGCCCTCCCCACACATATTATTTGCCCTCCCCACACGTGTTACCCGCCCTCCCCAACATACCACATGCCACATGCATTTCCATCTACATGCCATTCTGCTTGCGCCCCCCTACACCACCAGCCTTTACCAACATTGTACCACCAGCCTTCCCCACATTGTACCACCAGCCTTCCCCACATTGTACCACCAGCCTTCCCCACCAGGGTAAAATGCCCTGATTACCCTGGGGGCCGGCCGCTTTTTCAGGATTACCCTGCCCAAATCAGGATTCCACGATAGTCACCCTTTTGCCTAAAGAGCATGTTTTTTTTTACACTGATAGGATTTATCGTTACCCTGACGGTGTCAGGGTAGGGTGTACACTACCTTGATACCGAAACTCCTTTACCGCGGACCATGCCGTACCCTGCGTGGTGACAAACTGTACAACACCCACACAAACAAGCGTTGTCGCTTGTGACCTCTGGCATACCGTAAACCCCCGTATATAGTGTTGGAAACAAGTACCGTATTCCCCCGGATAAAACACCCGGGGGTATTATGATAAATACCGGGAAAAAATGGGGGGGGTCTCCTCAACGGAAAGTCCTACATAATACCCGGGTGGTTATATATGGCACTTTTTAGTGTAAGAAAAAAAATTAATTAGACAATTCGGGTGTTTCAATAGTCGTTCTAAGATCACAGGTTGAGGCGAGAATTCGAGTTTTGGCGAGAATGTGAGTTTCACCTCTCGGGCCACGTGCAGCGGAAGATTCGCCAGCGTGGCGACAGCGAGATTGTGGGAGGGAGGGAATTTCGGTAGATTCGTGTCAGTAGTAGTAGGAGAAAGTTTAGAAACAGAAAGAGGGTTTGGACTAGCAGCAGTTGAGATACAAATAGCAAACCCTAGATTGGGCTGTACTCGCTATAGAGTACCCCACTGCAGGCTAGACAAATACAACATTCTGACACACCCCCATAGCCAAAGTGGGGTGTAATCAGCACAACAAGCAGTCATAATAGTAGTTCACATTTTATGAGCAAAGCTAGAGGCAGTCACAGGGGGCAAGTGAGGAGGAGGAGGGCTGGTGAGAGGAGAGTAGATAGGAGGCGACGACTGAAGATGCAGACACACGGGCAACAGACGGCTCTGGTGCGACAACGTGGCTACCGGGAATGAGTGCCCCGGAGTACAGGAGTAACAGGCTCCGCGGCTAATATGCGCGGCAGGAGCAACGGACCCACAGGCGACGGCGCAACCGGCTCTCTGAGCTACCGGGAATGAGTGCCCCGGAGTACAGGCGCTGCGTACGACACGACGGCAACCTCCGCTCAACCTCCCCCAACAGTCCCACACCCTTCGACACACACCCCCTGCTGCGCCCCTAGCTCCACTCCCCCTTCACCCCCCTAGGACCACTCCTTCGGCTCCCCACACAACCACCCCCCTGAGCGGCAGCTGCAGCAGCGGGAGACGGAGGAGGAGGAGGAGGGGACGGGGCACACAACCGGCACCCCCACACCCGCCACCCCCACACTCCACATCCCCAAACCCTAAAACGGGTGGGATAGGGGCAGGAGCGCGGGGGACGGCGAGAGGGGGACGGACGAGGCGCGCGCAGGCTGCCCGCGCCGCGCGCTGGCCTGGCGCAGCCCGTACGGGCCGCGCGCGGGCCTGGCGCAGCCCGTACGGGCCGCGCGCGGGCTGTACGGGCCGCGCGCGGGTCCCAGGGGCGCTTCGACGGGCGACGGGGGCGTTTTGGCGGGCGACGGGGGGCGCTCCGACGGGCGACGGGGGCGCTTCGACGGGCGACGGGGGGAGGGCGCTTCGACGGGCGACGGGGGGCACTTCGACGGTGGGAAACCGCCGCGCGCCTCGGGGCGCACGGCGGGCAGAAAACCGCCGCGCGCTCCGAGCGCACGGCGGGATGAAAACCGCCGAAACCCTAAAAACGCCGCGCCTTGCGAGCGCGCAGTAGGCAGAAAACGTCGCGCGCCCGAGGCGCGCGATAAGCAGGACAGCAGCGGAAGCATTAGGTGGCGGGCCCACCCACAGGATCGACCCAGGAGGGTCGACCTGCTCTGATACCATGTCAGAAGTAGTAGGAGAAAGTTTAGAAACAGAAAGAGGGTTTGGACTAGCAGCAGTTGAGATACAAATAGCAAACCCTAGATTGGGCTGTACTCGCTATAGAGTACCCCACTGCAGGCTAGACAAATACAACATTCTGACAATTCGAAGTGAAAGTGCACGCGAAATTTCATTCAGGGAGCGATTTTCGTCATATCCTCCCGTAAAAAATCTGACTCGATAACAGCTATAATAGGGTTTCGTAAGAAAAGGGGGGTCTTATATAGGATCACCCCAAAAGGGGGGGTATAGTACCAACGGGGTCAAATATAACACCCCCCCCGCACAAGCTACCCGGGGGTGTACAATTCGGGGTGGGTGTTTTATCCGGGGGTATACGGTAACTTAAAAGCTTCTGATGTGTCGGAATTGTTGGGCTGAGAAAAGCCCTTAGGATCTTTGCAGGACTAAACTCCTGGTAGGAATGATGTAATAGCGAAAGCATTTAAAGAGAATATTGAACCACCTTGCGCAGGTATGTGAGGGCAAAGTAGATTAATTAAAGCAAAGAGATTCTCTAAAAGAGTGCCGTATTCTCCCGGACAAAACACCCCCCCATGATAGAGCACCCCCGGGTAGCTTGTGCGGGGTGGGTGCTATGGGCGACCTCATTTTCACTATACCCCCCTTTTTGGCTGATTCTCTATAAGACCCTGGGGGGGTGCTATAGTAGGGAAATACGATAACTTTGCTTACATTTCATACAGGTGACATTACAGCAAGTACAGAAGTCCTGCGCCAGCACCTAGACACAATGTCACCTATACTGCATCTCCTTAGCCACATGATCACCACACACTAGACATCAGCAACAAGTTCAACTTCACTCAGAATCGTCCCCAGCCTGCCACTCCTCACATTCTTCCCCGTCATAACGGCCAGGGCGCCACCACTCGTCATCGCTGGGCTCTTCTGCCTCCCCGCCTTCTTCAAGCACGACCCCTTCCTCCTCTGCCGCCGCCGCCTCCGCGACCTCCTCGGCGACGTCGTCCTCATGTGCCGCCGCCTGCAGCTCCTCGGCCGGCATGGGGACTTCGGCGTAGAAGGGGTTGACGACGAGATCGTCGTCAACCAGGTCGTTGACATCGTCAAGGACCTCCACCTCACTCTTGTCCCGCATGTGGGCAAGAATGAGGTGGTCCTCGCTGCCATCGATGGGGGTGGAGATCCTGCACGTCACGAACGCCTTCTTCACGAGCTCCTCTGGAATTGCTTCCCAGGACTCATCGATCCTGCGGAGCACCAGCTCCGCTGGCGGCTTCTTGAGATTGCCTGGGGGACAGGGAAGGCAAGTCATGGACGAAGGTGAGCATAGAGAGCGCACGTTGACACAAATTGAACGGATAGCAAGCGGGACCGTGCGCTTC